ATTCTGTGAACCAAACAGAAAGATTCCAATTTTTTAACAGATTCCATTCCAAAGTCTGCCAACCAAACAGGTGGTCAAACCTGACAACATTCCATTCCAATTCCTTCAAAGTCAAATTCCTTTAACATATTCCATTCCATCCAAAAACATTCTGTGAACCAAACGCCACCTAATAGACTCAATTGAGATAATAAAATAAATCTAAAAGAAGGTAAAAACAATGCAAATAGGGTTAACAAATTAACACCTATCAATTATGCATGGGTTACTTAGGTATTCTTACTCGAGCATAAATCTGGGATCAACTTTGTTCTCCCCAATTCTCTTTTGATGATAAAAACCCAATCTGGGGTGAATAGTAAAAGGTTAAGATCTGATAATTCCTGAGATTATTTCAATCAAACCCTCACTTCCTATTGTCAAAAGGAGGGAATAACGCATGAGTCTTCATGTGTTAAAACACCTTACAAAAAGGGGACTGCAGAAAGAAAGAATGGGCATCTATTAGACCAAACCAGAGCGTTATTATTTCAAAGAAACGTGCCAAAACATTTATGGGGGGAAGCCTTTCTCACAGCCACTTACCTAATCAACAGACTTCCTATACGAGTTCTAGAATTCAAAATCCAATGGAGGTAGTGTCCTCTTTTTACCCTAACACATCCATCTCCAACAACCTTGTGCCTCGTATCTTTGGGTGTCTCATTTGTTCATATCCATAGCCAAGAAAGAGGCGAACTTGACCCTCGGGCTCTAAAGTGTGTTTTTATGGGATATTCCTCAACCCAGAAAGGATATAATGCTACCATCCTCCATCCAAGAAGTTTTTTGTGTCAAGAATGTGACATTTAGTGAAAAAGATGCCTATTTCGCCCAACCTTATCTTTAGGGGGAGAATTCTAGGGAAGATAAGGGAAGCTTAGAGAACTTTATTGTTGAATTGTCTGATATTTCTACTCATATTCCAGAACTAGTTCCTAATTCTACTCATATTCCATAACCGGTCACCGATATATCTGATCCTATACCAGAACCCAGAACCGGTTACCCATGTTTCTGATCCTACTCACAATCCTGATCTTACTTTAAATTCTGATCATATTCACAGTTCACAAGCTCTTAAATTAGTAACATCCAACCTAGTTCCTAAACCTACCCCTAACACACGCATCCCGAACCTGAAAGCATACGGTTCAGAAAGAAATTGGTGTACTCAAGACAAAAAAGGAACATTCTTGAATCTCAGCAAGTTCAAGAATCCAACATGGGTCCTTTAAATGAGGTAACAGTTTCTGACTCTTCACCATTACAAAATGAAATTGAATTTCCGGTAGTTGACCAAGATCTCTCGATTGCCTTCAGGAAGGGAACGAGAGAATGCATAAAGAGACCATTATACCCATTGTCACACTACCTATCCTTCCAAAAATTCTCTCCTACCTGCAAAGCCTTCCTTGTTAACCTTAACACCATCACCATCCCCACTACCGTATTGAGGCATTATCCGATGAAAAATTGAAGCAAGCCATTAATGTTGAAATGCAAGCACTCGAGAAGAACAAAATTTAGGATCGGGTAAAATTGCCAGAAGGGAAAAGGCTGGTAGGATGCAAATGGGTCTATACTGTGAAGTATAGGGTTGATGGGTCGATCGAGAGGTATAAAGCAAGGTTGGTGGCCAAGGGATGTACACAAACTTTTGGCATCGATTACTTGGAAACATTTGTGCCGGTTGCAAAGATGAAGACAGTTAGAGTAATTCTATCCCTAGGTGCTAACCTTGGTTAGGAATTACATCAATTTGATGTAAAAACGCATTTCTGCATGGAGAACTTGAGGAGGAGATTTACATGGAAGTCCTGCGTGTCTATAAAAGGAGGGGTACCAATACAATGTGTAAATTAAAGAAACCATTATACGATTTGAAACAATCTCCTCAAGCATGGTTTGGGAGATTCTCCAAAACTATGGTTTCCTTAGGATAAAATCAAAGTCAAGGGGACCACACTTTGTTTATCAAACACTCAAAGTCCGGGAGAATAACGGTCCTTATAGTGCAGGTGGACAATATCATTGTGACGGGTAACGACGAACAGTAGCAACAAGCCTTGAGTCGTTGTCTAGCCAAAAAATTTGAGATCAAGACGTTGGGAAAACTGAAGTCTTCCCTTGGAATTGAAGTTGCTCATTCCAGAAAGGTGATTTTTATAGCTCAGCAGAAGTATGTTACTAATTTGCTAATAGAAACAGTATAAAGTGCATGCAAACCAACAAGTAACTCCTATAGACCCGAACCTTAAATTGGGAAACACAGAAGAAGATGGCATGGTGAACAAAGAAATGTATCAGCGTCTTGTAAGGCGACTCATATACTTCTCTCATACCAGACCAGATGTAGCATATGCTGTAAGCGTGATCAGATAGTTCATGCATAATCCAAAGGAGTCTCACTTCCCAGCTGCACACCAGATTTTACAGTACCTCAAAGGAACACCAGGAAAAGGAATTTTATTCGAAAGAAACAATAGTGTGACCCTTGAAGCTTATATTGATGCAAGTTATGCTGCATCACCGATTGATTATAGATCAACAACAGGGTACTGCACCTCTCTTGGAGGAAACCTTGTAACATGGAGAAGCAAGTAACAATGTGCGGTAGCATGGTCTAGTGCAGAAGCAGAATTTCGAGCAATGGTACACGGTATATGTGAACTATTATGTCTGAAAATCATCCTAAAGGATTTGAAGATTAACCGGGGAGGGCCAATGAAACTCTATTGCGACAATAAGTCAGCAGTGGACATCGCTCACAACCCTGTTCAGCACGATTGGACCAAGCATATCGAAGTTGACATACATTTCATCAAGGAGAAGCTAGACAGTGGCCTAATATGCACCCCATTTGTGCCAACTCATGAGCAACTTGCAAACTTTTTCACTAAAGGGCTATGTAGACCAATGTTTGAGAAGATTACATCCAAGCTGGGAATGGGAAATTCCCACTCGCAAGCTTGAGGGGAAGTATGGGAAAATGGAAATGATTATGTATTCAATAGGGGATCATGTATAATCCCATAAAATCAGGGATTTCATAGGATAGTTTTCTTTTATTATAGCTTAGCCTCTTGTGTATATTTTGTATGATTTCTTTCGATAATCAGTACATTGGAAATATGTTAAAATAAAAATAGTTGAGCAATGTTGAATACTTTTATTCAAATCCGAAGGTCAATGGTGCTGTCCAAATCCAAAAAAATAAGAATAATGGTGTCCAAATAAAAAAATAAAATAAGAATAATGGTGTTCAAGTCCAAAAAAATAAGAATAATGAAGCCTTGATATTGTTGGATTAAAATGAAACCGAATGGAGGTCCAAAAATAGAGGCCCACAAAATTATTTCCTAGATCAATTATCCAATTCTTGATGGGGCCTCGGATGAACACATATATGGATCACACTTTGCCACATTGGATTCGGTGGAGCATCAAAGCTAGCAATAGAGTTGCTTGATTACCAAGAATAACTTCTCTACTCAGTAATATCTCAAGACAATCATCGACATGCTCAAACTCAAGGTTTAATGTGTGTCTAATACGTATGTAGGTTGCCTATTATTATATGGCATGGTTGGTCAGTAATCAATCCATGTTCCATATAGTGTTGAATTTTGGTAGGAGTCTGACTGAAAGATGCAATTCTTTTCTAGAAGTTATAATTCAGATGCTATGATGCTTGTATGAGTCCTTGTTTCATGAAAATTACATGTAACCTAGATCTGACACCTGTTTAATTTAGCCTTGTCCGTTTAGATCGAGAGCATATTGTGATATTGTTATAATATAATATTGGAAAAAGATTGCAAGTTTAATATGGCTGATAGGATCCCTTCATGTACTTCAAGACTTTGAGTACTTTGGTAAAGAAGTTTGTAGTCCACTAGTTTTTAGTGAAACACGATACATAATCAACTACATATACTTTCTAGGGATGAAGTTCTTATTCTTTTTTCTTGGAGGATGAAAGTTCATCAACTGCTTGGACGTATGAATTAGGTTGTTGCCATTTTCAAGTTGGTCTACTATTACTTGTACATCAATTGAATATTGGCAAATTGGGATCTTATTATGTTGGTAATCGGAATTTTGAGTCCCCAATGTAGGATGTGTTGACAGCAACATCATGTGCAATAGTCGAAGGCTTACACATAAGAATAGATCGGGATTTGAGGTGACATAGAAGGTACATAACATGATTTTGTAAGTGTTACCGATAACTTGCTTTGATACCTTTCAATCAAGAGATGCCATGGTGTAACGGTTTTCTCACTTGTATATATTTCATCTTACCATGTACATGCACAATATGCACTAAATCTAGTTTGTACTTGCTGATGCATCTCTGAATCCATATATGAGTGGGCCACACAAATGATGGTGTGTGCTTAATCTTGGGATTGATTCTTCCATTTTATTACTTTGTGCTTTTAGATAGATTTGATGCTTCAAATGGTGTTAGAGCTCTAGTTTTCTGAAGTTACAGGTTAAAGTTTAGGCATGCACTTGTTACCCGGCTTTTTCTTTATTGAGCTTACCCTTTGAGAAGGGTTGGTTACCAAGCCTACTTGTTTCATGAGTTCATATGTTCTAGTCCTCTGTACTAGCACTTGTACCTGAGTTGAGTTGGTTAGTTCAACGGAGCTTTAATATCAATTGGACAAACGTGGTATGAAGGTTCCAATTTTGAGTCTCTATAGTTGTGCATGTTACTCTCCCTTTGTTCAGGGGCTGTATAGGCCAATTATTAATTGTATTGTTCAATTTTTCCTAAATCCTGTGGTTTTTCTGTATTCAGTTCGTCATGCACCCAATTTTCCTCTAACCAACAATGCTCGTGCCTGAAAATTTGGCTTCATATGCTAGTTCCTTTCTTATGATTATGCTTGCTTTTGATTTATATCAATAATTTGATATTGAAATGGGCAACGCTCTAAATTATGCAGCCCCAGTGACTGGAGATACGTAGAAGCAGAGCTAAAAAGACATTTGGGGAGACACTTTTTGATACATGGTACATTTTCTCGTCTGGTTCGATTATGCCATCCTATTTTTGTTCTTAGGTGGGGATCATTATCATAGCAGTTGACTAAATTACGTTGAAGGAGGGCCAGGAACTGAACTCGATGAGGGAAAGAGTCTTTCTTTTTCCGGGGTTTCAATTAAAAAGGCTAAAAGGAAAAGGAAGTGATCGAGAGATGACAACCAGGAGGTGGGCTTGGAAGCAGCCATCCTGTAAAGAAAGTATAACCGAACCAAAATAAAGGAAAGTTTTATAGGGTAATCATTAGACCAGCTATGTGGTATTGGTTGAATTAGAGGAAGTTGAAAGTTGTAGAAATGAGGGTGCTTAGATGGACTTGTGGTCGGACCTTGTTTGATAGGATACCGAACGAGGTCTTGCGGACGGTGTTGGGAGTTGCACACATCATAGATAAGCTAAGAAAGGGAATTGCGGTGGTCTGGTCACGTTTGTAGGAGATATGTGGCGGCTGCCGTGAGGAGGATAGAAAGTGTGAAGGTGAAGTCAGCGAGGAGGAGGGATAGGCCAAGGAGGAAATGAGATGAGCAACTGAGGTTAGACATGGCGCATTTTGGCAATTCCTAGGACATGACCTTTTGTAGGAATTATTGCAGACGTAGGACTAGGGTAACAGACTAGGGGCGGGGCGGGGCTCATTAGCTAGAGTAGACGGGAGCTAGAGAGGTAGAGGATGGACCGTAGGGTTTGTGAGCCGATAGTTAGGTTACAAGAGTCCTAAGTTACACTAGAGGTGTGTGATTTTTCTTACCTTGGCTATGTTTTCTTGTACATATAATTCTGTTTTTATGTTTGTGCTTACTTCTAACTCGGTTTTCTTGTTTCAAGCTCTTCTTTTTGAACTCTCCTTTTTTTATATCCTCATTTTTCTTGGGCAAAGTTTTTCTTTGTTGCACGCACTTATCACATGCTGGGGTCTTTAAGGAAACAACTGCTTTACTCCTCAGAAACAACTGCGTACATCCCACTCCCCAATACTGGTTTGGTTTATTTGTGTTCTTTTTTTTCCATTGGTTTCTTTCCATACTTTTGAAGAGCAACAGATAATGATGATATTAATTATCAAGCACCAAGTTTTTCGTGAGTGCTATCTTGGAAAATGACATTTATCTTTTCGTTTTTACCTTAAATTTGAGGTAGTAATGCTGGTTGGTTGGCTGCTAAACACATAGTTAGAATTGCTATAGGATTAACTGCTTTGTTACTAATATGAGATCGTAAACTTATGTTAATTTTCTTTCAAGAATTTTAGCTCATTCCCTTGGTGGTTTGATTGTTAACACGTGAACACATGTCTGCAGCAAGCTCATCTAACACTTACTCTAAAACCTTTGCTGGAATTGATGGGGCTGGAAAACGGTTAGCAGATGAAGTGAGTATCCAGTGTCCTGAGTTTATTCCACTATGTAGCATACTCATAAACAGTAAAAGTTTCAAGAAACGGTTACGTTTGTCCAAATAACTCAGGGTATCATCGTAAAAGTTTACTTCTGGTACCCTCTTTTGCAAATGTAGTTATATACCAAAAGTTTAAGCATGCGGTATGCATCCAGTCAGCCATATCAAATTGTAAGGCTTAAAATAACTTTTATTGACCGAACTGGAGGGGCACGTGCAATTGGGTAATCCAATCACCACATTTGACACTTTATCAACTCTGTGATCAACACATTTGCAATTGAGTGGCTACTGCCAACATCTATTGAAAAACATAACAAAAAGGCGACATGGAGGTGCAACTGGATCTTTTCCTTTAAACAATGACATGTCAATCTTAATGATGAAGTGTCATTTCATATCTTTGGCATGTAATGCCTCTATGGTTGCTTCCTCAACCCCTTCCTCTTGATGGGACAACCTTGAGTGAACCTTTGAGTGGGGTTCTACAAGAAAGTATAAAGAGTGTGTGTGTGTGTGTGCAAAGAGAAAAACTGGTGTGAGGGTGATGATATTGTAAAACAATGTCATGTCATTGCCTGAAAACGTATTATCCCAATGAAGCATCCAGATCAGCTTTCTGTTATCTTGATAACAGAAGTTGACAGTGGTCACTTAATTGCAGAAATGGTGATAGCAGAATGAAGTAACTGTGTAACATGATATTTGGATCATAGAACTCCAGTCACCAAGTACATTTAAAACAATCACTTTAATGCATTTTGGATCTTGTTTGAACAGGTCAAGCAAATTGTGACGAGTACAGAGAGCCTTAAGAAGATATCATTTTTAGCCCATTCGCTTGGTGGTTTGATTGCAAGATATGCAGTTGGTGTTCTTTATACTCATAATGCCTCAAGTATAGATAATGCTGATGATACAACAGATTCCATATTGAATGCTTCAGGTCATAGAATGATTGCTGGGTTGGAGGCCATCAATTTTATAACCCTGGCAACACCGCATCTGGGAGTTAGAGGGAACAAGCAGGTTTGGTTTTCTTTATAATCATGATCGATAATACTTTTATGAGGTCATATTATTTTATCAGTAAAGGTTTTTTATACAAGGCGTTCCATACTTGTGACATTTGCCATTTTGTGAAAACCAGAGGTAGTCTCCATTCACGTATCTTGTGATCAACAACTGAAATTAGCCTAGAAGTTGCACTTGGACCCAAATGGATGTATCATATTATTTGTAGGAGTTATTGAAACGGCATTTATGCCAGATTGAATATTGATATTCTCTTTCTCAGTACCATGAAGAGATCTTCAATGTCTCGTGGTGAATGCTTATTAGGCGTTGTTCGATGGATTAAGTCTCCTTCAATTGCTTCACTAATACCCATTTAAGATGGGGAAAACTGGAAAGTTTTTCCAAGTTATTTTAGAGGTGAGGGAGGGACTGGACACTAGCCATTGCAACTGAGCAATCATAATAAAGAAAATAGTCTTTATTGTAAGTTACTTAGCCTTGGATAGCCTTGGATTAGATACAACCGGATATTATGCTAATGACATTTCTTGCAACTTCCTGAAATCTATGGAATCTAACCTCCAGACAGTTGATTTAAATTTTATGATTCAGCTTCCATTTCTTCTGGGTGTTCCCATCTTAGAGAAAATTGCGGCCCCGATGGCTCCCATGTTTGTTGGACGAACCGGTAGTCAGCTGTTCCTCACTGATGGTAAACCCAACAAACCACCTCTGCTTTTGAGAATGACAACAGATTGTGAAGAGGGGAATTTTATGTGAGTAAAAGTGTTAGAAGTTGAAATTTCCCATCAGTGCAAGCTTATTCTAAACACTTGTTGTGTTGCAGATCTGCCCTTGGTGCATTTAGATACCGCATTTTGTATGCCAATGCCTCCTATGATCGTATCCTGCCAAGTTACTCTTCATGCTTGCCTTTTCTTTTCTTTCCTCAATTAAACCATTTCTCTTTGCTACTTAACTTTTACTAGATATGGTTGGTCGGCGAACATCCTCAATCAGAAGGGAGTCTGAGCTCGTTAAGGTAATTCTGCTACTAGAATTCAGATATATAAATAATTTCCATGTAGACAGCCGTACACATGCAGCATTTTTTTTCACACAAACTGCCAGCATTTTGCATCATTCCTGTTCAAATTTACATTCTGGTTACCAATCAACACACAATAATCGTAAAGACTGACATATTTGTTGATACTACCGCGCCCAAACTGAATTTTTTTTGTTGTCTTTGGCTTTTCTCTTCTTGGTTGACCAAATGTCATTGATACTATTCAAATGGAACCAACTTTTAAAAACTTCTCATTTCAGTGAACCAAGTTACATATTTTCTCATGTTAGAACACTATCTTTGGCTGTAGGTAGATTCATGTGCCTGAATTTTCTGTGTGAATCGTTGAGGCAACCATCCATGATTCTATTTGAGCCATGCCATGAAATCATGCCAAACCTAGCCGGTTGTCCTCCAGGCTTGGCCCAGACCTGTTCTCCGTCCTATTATGTTAATTGATAATGTTTATAACTTTGTTATTTTTTAATCATTAACATTGTTCAAAAAAGTACCTCCATAAATTATACTACTTCCAATTGAGGATGTTTACTACTTTATAGTATAAAAAGATAAAATCCTATTTATAAAACCAAAACCGTCTGATCTTTTATCTTCATTTTAAAAAATACTCAACACATTCACTCTTTATTTGTACTAAATACGACTCAAACTAGTTGTTATGAGGGGCAAAAAAGACAATTTAAAAAGTCAAAAACAAAAACAAAAAACAGTAGTTTTGTTTTACTTATTTGATCCTTTTTCAGATCGGGCATTTTGGGGCCTTAATTTAATGCACAAGGGCTACCTTGACTGGACCTTGGGCTTGGGCTTTATTCGGTCCTAAGGTAGCGTTTGGTATGCAGACATAATTGGACAGGACTGAACATGATAGAACTGGACAGGACATGACAAGAGGGTAGGTCTGGACAGGACAGGACTAGACTGGACATAACAAGAGTATATCTGGTGTTTGGTACGACTAGGACTGGACGGGACAGAACTAGACAAGCTACCCCCAAAAGTTATTTAATGATTTTAAATATTATATAATAGTTATAATTAACACAAATAAATTAAATAATTAAAGAATTTAATTTATAAATATTTGTACATAATTTTCATAGTTATACCAAATTTGAATGAAAAATTTGATATAATTGACGGTAGTAGTGGTGTTGGTGGAGGTGGTATTGGTTATGGTGGAGGTGGTGGTGGCCGACGGTAGTAGTGGCAACAGGCGGTGGTGGTCGGTGGCCAACAGTGGTTATAGAGGTAGAGGCAGTGGTATTTGGTGGACGACGGTGGTTATAGAGGACATGAAGATGGTAGATTGTGGTGGTGGTGGCGGTTGACGACGGTGGAGGAGGTAGTTGTGGTTGATGTAGTGAAGATAGTGGTGGTGGTGGTTATGGTGGGGGTTATGGTGGAGGTGAGGTGGCAATGAATGGTGGTGGCTGATGGTGGTCGTGGAGGAGGAGTTGAAGGTGGTGAACGGCGGTAGTGGTGGTGGCAATGGATGGTGGTGGTAGGTGGTCGACTATGGTAGAGGTGACAATGGACTTGGTGGGCGGTGGTTGTGTAGGCGGTGGAAGATGTTGTAGTGGAAGATGAGGTGGAGGTGGAGGTGGAGGTGGAGGTGGAGGTGGAGGTGGAGGTGGCCGCCAGTAACCGCCGATAGTGGTGGCGGCGGCCGAAACTAGCAGTGGTGGCGGCGGCCGAAACTAGCGGTGATGGCCATTAAAACAAATATCATATTAAGGTTATATATCAAACTATGGTAGATTAGAAATATTTTAGTTTATATCTCATTCTTGTCCCAAATAGGTGGAACAAGAAAAAACCTCTTTTGTCCCATGCTGTCCCACCTTGTTCCAGTTCTTGTCCCTGTCCCATGTCGCCCCAAACGTGGGACAATGAGTTCTTGTTCTGTCCCATGCTGCGCCAAACATGGGACAGTGAGTTTTGTCCCGTCCTGTCCTATCACGTCCCATGTACCAAACGCAGCCTAAAGGACCGGCTCTAACCAGGTTTTTCAATTTCTTGGGCATGATTGTTCCTACGTGTCTTAACCAGCACTTGTGTAACGGGCCTTTTTCGGGCCTGACCTGGGCTAGTGTCGGACCTTGGGCCCATTTGTGCATTGTCTATATAGTGTTTGGTAAGACTGGTACAACACAATCAATATTGGTTAGTGTTTTTCTTTGGTTTTTCACCTTTTCCTCGAATCGTTTGCGCCGGAACTCTACTGGTTGCAATCTTTCATTGATTTCTTGTTTCCAATACAGTATCCCTATTGGCTCAAAGCTCGGTTAATGAGAAAATAGGTAGGCTCTCGTTGCGCTTTGTGAAAAGAGTCATTCTTTTACATGCATGGGGGATAATTGCTCCTAGTAGGCTTGAGGGTGGCTCAAATTATCAAATGAGCTTGCTCGGCTCGGCTCGGCTCGGCTCGGCTAATTAAGCTATTTGACAAGCTCATCTACACCCTTATTGTTATCAACATCAAAGATGATTTGGCTATAATTCTGATGCTTTGGTATCTAAAATTTGCAGCCCCCTTTCGAATCTTTGGATGGTTATAAACATGTTGTAGATGTGGAGTATTGCCCTCCAGTATTATCCACGGGATCGAATTTTCCTCCCGAGGCAGCAAGAGCAAAAGAAGCAGCCCAAAATGTACCTAATACCCAAAATACCCTCGAATACCATGAAATCATGGAAGGTAAATTAGATACTTGTTTACTTGTAGGAATTTGAATTATTCAGCTTGCGCTAAAATATGATAACCTTTGTTATAATATAATAGAGGAAATGATTCGTGGTTTACAACGGTTGGGATGGAAAAAAGTGGATGTGAGTTTCCACACTTCATTGTGGCCGTTTTTCGCTCATAACAACATCCATGTACGAATTCTTTTGTCTAGTCTTTGTCAAGCTTTTGTTTGTTTTTATATTGTTTGATGTGTTTAATTTGGTGATTGCAGGTGAAAGATGAATGGTTTCATAAAGCTGGAGCTGGAGTAGTTGCTCATGTTGCTGATAGCATTATGCAGCAAGAAAAGCAACACCAATCTTCTTCATTCATCTCTGCCAGTTTGTAGTTCACATGCCATTTCATCAAAAACACAAAACATACATACATTATATATATGTTTGTAAAAATGCAAACACATGAAACATCGTTTTGGTGATTGCAAGTACCAGAGGAGATTAAAAAAGGTTATCCAAAGTTTAGTGATAGATGGGCAAATTTTGCCTTCATTATTTGCCATTTTATTATCTTGTATATATAGGATACAGTTCAATTAAAAACCAATTTTAGGTTTCCAAATCATGATCAAAATTAAGAAAATTAACTAAAGGTGAAAACATAAAGTGATAGTGTTCAGGGCAAAAATGGAATTAATTTTAAATTTAAATTAGATGTCTACCTTATTTGGCCTTTTCTTTTCTTTTTTTTACCTCCTTAATTTTTAAATTAAATTATCTTAAAAACAAGTAATCTTTAGTCAAACAAATTACATCAAAAAAAGAGTTTTTCATTTTCTTCGATTTGACATTCATTTCGATATATGTATGTATGTATGCATATTCCAATATGAATATTTATGTATGTTTACGTGTATACAACTCTTTAGTATCCAACCTCTATATATATATAGAGGTTGGTTATTATACAATTTTGACATTTGTGCAACCAATACAACCCAATCTCAGCCGTCCATTTCATTTGATTAATATGTGATTTCATAGAAGTTTTAATTGTTTCATAATATAAATTATTGATCATAATTAATGAATCATATTCATCTTTCATAAATATTCAAATCATAATAAATGATCAATACTTATATAGAGTTCGTTTCAAATACAACCCATCGCATTTGTATAACCAATGCAACCCAATAAATTGAGATATTTATGGAAATGATGAAAGTTCATTTATTATGATTTGAATATTTATGAAAGATGAATAAAGTTCATTTATTATGATCAATAATTTAGATTAGAAAACAATCAAAACTTCTATGAAAATGACATATTAATCAAATTAAATGGATGACTGAGATTGAGTTGTATTAGTTGTATAAATGTAAACGGTTGTATAATAACCCACCTCTCTCTCTCTCTCTCTCTCTCCCTCTCTCTCTCTCTCTCTCTCTATATATATATATATATATACTATCTTATAAAGCATTTGGCTAAAACTCTTAGAACTCTTAAAAACTCTTAAACCCGTTCATCCCTAAACGATTTCATCCCTATCCGATTTCATCCCATATCTGAATTCGTGTAACTAA